GTTTGATTCATGCCAACTTTTTAATAACAAATAGCAGTTGTCATGTTCTTGTTTGATTCATGCGAACTTTTTAATAACAAATAGCAGTTGTCATTTTCTTGTTTGATTCATGCCAACTTTTTAATAACAAATAGCAGTTGTCATGTTCTTGTTTGATTCATGCCAACTTTAATAACAAATAGCAGTTGTCATGTTCTTGTTTGATTCATGCCAACTTTTTAATAACAAATAGCAGTTGTCATTTTCTTGTTTGATTCATGCCAACTTTTTAATAACAAATAGCAGTTGTCATGTTCTTGTTTGATTCATGCCAACTTTTTAATAACAAATAGCAGTTGTCATTTTCTTGTTTGATTCATGCCAACTTTTTAATAACAAATAGCAGTTGTCATGTTCTTGTTTGATTCATGCCAACTTTAATAACAAATAGCAGTTGTCATGTTCTTGTTTGATTCATGCCAACTTTTTAATAACAAATAGCAGTTGTCATGTTCTTGTTTGATTCATGCCAACTTTTTAATAACAAATAGCAGTTGTCATGTTCTTGTTTGATTCATGCCAACTTTTTAACTTATTCGGTGTAGTTAAGACGATTTACAAATTATTCAAATTCTTTTATTTGGAATTAGCATGGTTTTATTAGCGTATTATGTCCAAACAAGAGCTTTAGAAAATATAACTTTTTTTGCTTCAGGTTTTTTTAATATTTAAAGAAACTTTTTTTTATATATAATTTTTGAAACCTTTTTACAACCCATAATAGTGAATGTAAAGAACACCATTTTGGAGTCTTCAGATCAATTCCGCTCATCGGGGTTAACTCTGTTATATACACGTTTGTCTTGCAGCTTCCGCATATAGCGGACAAATAAGACTTTAGGTCCAGACTGAATCCACATCCAACTCTTTTTTTTTGAGATCTTGCTTTAAGCAGACTCATTTTGTACCAAAACATTTTTATTTATTATTTTCTGTATTAAAATTTATAAACCAATGCTCAAATAAATTGTTTAATTTAAACAAATTATCAGACGATTGACATAATTTATTGAGACTAGTTTTAGTCTAAATATTGTCGTGTTTATGGAGTTAGTTTGCTATCACGTGTTTGCTATTAGATCATTTTTAATTAGTATTTGTAAAAAATAAATTCAATTTGAGGCACAAACCACGTGTTTTGCAAACGTCTTTTGCATCCCGCTGATTAAGGAAAATTAATTTTTGAAAGAAAGTATTATTTATCTTGAATTCCATTATAAATTCTAATTTGGTTTTAAATTTCATCAAAATACATTTTGCCACTCAAAAGACATGGTCTCATTTTAGTCAAAAGGAGTATTAAAAGTAGTTAATGAAGAAGTAAACAAAATAAACGAATGGTTTATTTGGAATAAACATTGCAATGACGTATAAAGCAAAACCATTTTTGGATATAAGATCTTTAAAAAGTGAATATTTTTCCTTTTTACATAGCTATTTAGCTTACGACAATATCGTTTGGGCAAGCACCAGCTACGCTAAGTTGAAGAAAATTTATACTAAACAAAAACATGTATGTAGAATCGTATTTGAAGCAAATTGAACTGTGCCTTGTGAACCACTTTTACGTAAACTCAATGCATGAAATGTGTTTAAAATCAACATATTCTTCGTCATTCATGTATCAAATAAAGCATGGACTGTCTCCAACGATATTCTATCCTTATTTTGAGAAGTAAACCATAAATACCCCACCAAGTTCTCAGAAAATAACTTTATAACTCAAAAATATAATGCAAAGTTTTGTTCTTATTCTATTCAGTACCGGGGACTAATTTTGTGAAAAAACTTTTAGCATATTTGTTAATATTAAATAAAAAACATTTCAAATCTAAATTAAGACGTTATTTAGTACTTACGGATTTTAATATAGCAGATTTTCTTTTTTTAAATGATGTTACTTATATATTACGGATTATAATATATATATTTGCGTTACTATTGGGGCTTGGTGATTAGGCTAATTTATGCCTTCTTCTTGCTCCAGCCAATTGTACTTTTTATATTGTTGTACATTGTGAATATTTTCAACGGCGATAACTAATAAAACTAAAACTAAAAAAAAACTAAAACAAAAACTAAGCTAAAAGGTCAAAGTTTAGGACCCCCTCATTTTTTAAAGGTTTATAATATTTAGAAAAATGAAAAAAGCAATCAATAATAACAATTAAAAAAGTCAATCAATAAAAACAATTAAAAAAATCAATCAAATAAAATAAACTTTTTTATTCTTGTGATGATGTTTAGTCGTTTAGAGGTACTAGAGGTTGAATTGAGTTTTTACTTGTGCGGCACTTTCTGGTGTAATAAAACTTAGCGCCTTTTACGTATCACTTTGATATGCATGTTTGACATAGTCAAATCTTGCAATTTGAATTTTCACACTGGCACCATTCCATATTTTGACTTGCTGAAGTTTCGCCCAATACTTTTCGGCACTTTTTACACTTGAATTGGTTTGCAGCTAATATTTTCGTCGGACTTGTTGCTTGGTTTATTTGCTGTTCTCCAATAGAGCTAAGCTTATGTTGTTTTTTAACTTGCTTTGCTGTTTTTTTTCTTTTAACTTTTTAATTATTTCAGTATTGTTGAGACACTTCCCGACGAATCTTGGCACATCTAAATTTTTTGTGTGTGTGTGTCAACATGTTAAATACAAAACATTTGTTGCAAAGCTGCTGCAATTGATTGGGCTGATTGCAGTTATTTTGCAATCTCTTCTTGAATTTCTTTTTGAATAGCCGAAGTTACTACAATATTGAAGGTTGTTTGCAGACAAGGTGACCGCACTTAAAAAGAGAGTAATTAGCGTATTTCATTCATTAATTAGAACCATTATATAAAAGCAGTAAGTGAAAGTCATTTAAATTCAGTTAGAAAAATTCATTCATTGAAATTTATACAAAATATTTATAGTTGGAGATTTATTGGTCACTTGAGACGTAATAAAAAAAAGCCGCTTTTAAGAAATAAGCTATTGCTTCGTATTTATTTATTTATTAGCGTATTTCATTCAACCCTACAACACTCCGTTTCCATTTTTAACTCATAATTTTTTTTTTCCTAAACAGCAAGTTTAATTTTGAAAAAAAGTTTCTGAAAAAATTTTGAAAAAAGATTCTTGATCAGCGTATAAAGTTGTACCAGTAAACATTTAAGTTCAATGATACCGAATTTAATTCCGAGAGTTTTAAGTTCCCTTTTTAAACAAATAAAAAAATCTTATTGCACATTCAAAAACTTATAAATTTATAACAAAATTTTTTATATTAAAAATAGAATTTTATTCAATCTTACTCAGAAAAATATTCTCTACAATATAATCAAAAGAAAATTGTAAAAAAATTATTCAATAGTTAATTAAGATCGAAAGAATAAACATTGTCATAACTATTTCATTCTACCCGCTATTTCATTTTACCCTGTTTTACTCTATTCCATATTCTTTTTTTCAATTAAATCTTCCGTATTCTTCTTTTTAATTAAAAAATAATTAACGCGTCGGAGCTGCTACACCATATAAAAGAATGCATTAACAATTGTTGTAGTCCTAGATTCTGGATTTTAGTACAATGCGTATTTCATTATTTTTTATTGATACTTAGTAAGATCGGTTATATTTAGTTTTCGGTTAGATGTGACAACATATTTCTTTTCTTCATGTATTACAAAAAAAAGATCATCTTTACCAAATATAAAAGATCTCAAATAATACGTCGTTCTGCAATTAGATTAATTCAGTTTCCGTTTTTAGTAAATTATTTTTAAATATTTTTCGTGGGGGTGCGGGTAGCAATGATACCTGCTTCGGTTAAGTGGAGTTTTGTTTTATCTTGCATATGATTTTAAGTTAAAGAACGAAAATTTTTTGAATTCGAAATAGTTTAAATTTTTATGTTTTAGGTATTTGAAGTACCCGCAAGCTAGTGACACAATTTAAAAATATCAATATTTGATTTTTTATAACTTCTCTGTTTGAAATCCTTTTTTGAGTTTGATTCCCTCTTTTGTGTTTGATTCCCATTTGATTTCCAAATTGAACCGTTCAAAAAAAAAATAATAATATAATAATTCTAATAAAAAAACAAACTATATTAAAATATTAAAAATATTAATAATAATACTGTAGTATAAAAACATAATATTTATTCTCCGGTTTGATTAGCAAATTGTAATTTAATGTATTTGTAGCTGTTTTAAATTCATTTGGAGAAAAAGACCAAACTAAATTCTTTAAAATGTTAAAGATTGGGTCTATCAACTATTATATTATAGTAGATGGTAGACCCATGTCTGTGTCTGTCATATCATGTCTGTTCTTAGAAAGTTTAACATTGTTTAACTATTATAATAAGAAATAACATAAAACGCAGAACGCATAAAACGTAGAACTATATTGCAATACTTTTTAAAAAAGTGCATCATAAAGAGATGTATCAATTTCACAAAAAAAGTATTTTACTTCTGTATCTGATATTATTTGTGTTCTAAACAGTTAAAAAAAATAAAATGTTAACCCTAACGTCAAAGATGTCCAGCTGGAATTGAGGATAAAAAAATAAAATAAAATTTCTTTAAATAAACACACAGAACAATAAATAAACAAAATATTAAAATAAAACTTCTTTAAATAAACACACAGAATAATGTGAATATTGACGTTTAATATTAATGACGTGTACATAATTATGTTGCACAACTTAGATTTTACATACGCATAGTTTTTTAAAATTAGTCAGTAAATTGCAAAAAACTAAGCCTTTTTATTTTATTTTGCAAATATATATTATGGCCAACACTCACACATTTGTTTCATATATTTATGCTGGTCATCATATACATAAACACACTTACGCATTTTTATACTAAATCCTCACTTACAGCGCCTGAACGTGACATCAATTTAAGTATTCTACTTACTAACCACTTTTTTTATAATGTTCACTATTTTTTTAATTTAGTCAAAAAATCGCCTGTGCGTCAGAAGATTTATGAGTCAAACTTAGTTGCGGGAAAATATTCAGTCATTCATTGCTGATAAACATTTAAACAAATACTCAGATTGAATGGATATTACGACGTCACTCTTGATTACATTTTAGTTTTTTCAAAACTTAGTTCTTGTAGATAAAAACTAAAAAATTACAAAAAACAATCGTTGCCACTAAGTGAATGGTCACTGAGTCAAACTAACTAATAAAGTTTAATTAGCATCGAGGTTTATCTGCAAATATTTTACTCAATATATAAAGGAGAGACTGGAGGTTAGTTGGAATGTTTTTTTATTTATTTATAAATTTGTGATTTAAAAAAAAAACATTTTTGAAATTATTTTTTATTTTTTACATATTTTTTTTTTTTTAACATGTTTATTTTACAACTACAAAGTGTTTACAATTGACCAATAACCAATTGGCGAATAAAGATATACAAATATAAATATCGTAAACATAAAGTCCAAAATAAATAAGGGATAAATCTAAAATATTGTTACATTCAACTTTGAGACATGATAAAAATAAATACAAAGTACACAATAGAATAACGTGAACGTAAAAATTACCCAAGAAATAAACCTTCTATATTCTTTCAATTAAAATAAAAAATATATTTATATATAAAAGTATGATAAAAATAAAATTTGTATAAGATTGAAGAAAATAATTAATTATTGGTAGTTATAGGAAGCTCGCAGAAGACTGGGGTCAGTCTTGTCATCGAGTACCTTCTAGACGTGTAATACACATAAAAATCAGTTGCATACGTGGTAAATATGTATGTGGTACATATATGCCTTAAAATTATTAATGTTACAATCTCCCTTTAGTATTATTTTTATTGTTTCCTTTGAAAAGTTACATTTTTTGTTTTATTAGGGTTGTTTTATATTATTTTTATTTTTAAATTTTAATATGGAGTTTAAAAAAACTCCTTGTAGTTGTTTAACTTGATTATTGTAGATTTTAACTTTGTTTTCAGGGACTGTTTGTTGTTTAAATTTATTAGCGATTCGTTTCTAGAAACTATTTTGTTAAATAAATAGGGACCACGATGTTTTATTGAAAATTTTGAGAGTTTAGTTTTTCAAAGGGTATCTTAAAGTTACCCGTTGCTCTTGTATTGTATTTGTTGAGATAATTTTTGAGATTTTAAGCAAATCAGGTACAATACCTGTTGTAACTGATGAGTTAAATATTTGGTAAATAGGATTACGTATTTCCTCAAAAACATCTATCACTACTTTGCAAGAGATATCATCGATTCCTGGAACTTGGAATTTCGCAGGATTTTCTTATTTCTTTTGTTATCCAAGGATAATTTAAATATTTCGCTTTTATTTCTTTTTCTTGAATTAGAAAACTCTTATTATATTGTAGCATAAATAAATTAATAAATTTAATGTACGCAGAGTTCGTGTTTCCTGAGTTACATTCTCGGTAGACTTTTTGCCAATTTGTTGCCAATAGCAAGTCCTTAAATATTTGAGTAGATGTTTCATCGATAATTCTTTTATAAAACAAGATTTTTGAATTATCAATTTTTCTGGAATCTAGGGATAAAAAAAAGTAAATTGGAAAGTGATCTGAGATGTCTGTTTTATTATTCCTGATTTTAGAGAAGTATCTTGTATTGAGTTTGTTAATATATTATCAATGGCAGTAATAAATTTGGAAGTTACTCTGGTAGGTTTGTTGATAATGGGGAAGATATTAAGCAGAAACATGTCGTCAAAGAAATTTTTAGTAACCGCATGTTCGTTGTACTTGTATTTATGTTTATATCTCCAATTATGAACAATTTTTTCTGTTCTCTATTTTTTGTAATTAAATATTTCATATAGTTTAAGAATTATCAGGTATCACCATCGGGTGGTCTGTAGCACGTAGAAACTAGAAAGTTTTTTGACGCGTTTGTAACTTCCATTGTGAGGACCTCAATATTTCCATCAGATCATTTCTTAACTTAGTGTTTAAATCACAATTCCTCCTCCTCTTTTGTCAATAGATCTTTCTTTAGAAAATATTTTATAGTTTGGAATTTGGAGGTCAGAGTTTTTTTCTGCTGTTTCGTCGGAGCACCAAGTCTCAGTAAGGCAGATCATACTGAAAGTATGTTTGCACTCAAGGAGAAAGTTTTTTAATTTGTCTATATTTATAGGTAAACTTCTGATATTTATATGTGTTACCGCAAAATTATTTATAGTGGTTTTAAGTTCAACTTTAAAATTTTTAATATCAAAATATACAGAATCAGAGTATTTTTCGTTTAAAAAGCTAAAGTCGTCACAACGATTTCGTGGTAAATGTTTATTGGCAATTTCAAAGATATTAAAACGAAGCGTTTTTAAGTCTACTGTTTCATTAACCGTAATGATTTTTTAGAAATGAAATTTTTCAAAAATTTTTTCCCTAAAAACAGCTGTTTATTTTTTAAACTCTCCCCAATAAATTTTATCAAATTTAATAATGGCGTACTTACCAGCTTTACGAAGTCGTTTTACTTCCTACCATAATTTCTAACGATGCTCAATCGTTTCTTTCGCGTAGTCTTCGTTTATGTTAAATCCAGTCTCTCGTAATTTTTTGGCGCTGTTCAAAACTTTAGTTTTATCATAAAAATTTAGTAGTTTGAAGATTATTGTTCTCGATGGTTTGTCTTTTCTTGCACTTCCAATACGATGGGCTCGTTCGATTTCAATTTTTTCAGATATTTTTAGCTTATTTTTAATTATTTCTTTAACCGAGTTTCTACAATCTTCCCAGCTTTCACCTTCTATTTCTTTAACACCATCAATCCTTAAATTGTTTCTGCGTAAGCGGTTCACTAAGTCTACAGTTTTTTTTACTAAATAATTTATATCATACCCCAAATTTGCTTAAACTTTTTTCATTTTTTCCGTAACATTTGCTTCTTGAAAGTTTAGGCTCTCTTTAATTTCATGTATATCTTTTTCAATGATAGTACTGTGTGATTTATTTCGTTTAACTTCATATTCAAGCTTATCTAGTCGTTCTGCGAGAATTTTTAAGTTACCAATTATTATTACTGTAAAGTTTTTTTCTTGCTCTTTTAATAACTTGCTTGTTTCCGATAATATATACGCTTTTTGTTCTTCAAGCTTGCTTGTTATTAACTTTTCGATGTTTTTTAACGTTAGATCCATTTTTAATTTGTTAGTAAGATAATAAAAAAACACGTCCGCTCGCGGTGATGTTCACGGTGAAAGTTTTTAAAAAAAGGATGTTGATCTCGAGTTTGCAGAGAAAAAGTTTGTTTTTCTAAATAAATTTTCTAAATATTCCGACCATGATCGTTCATGTAATTGTTGCCAAATCCTCGTGTACAATTATACTTCAGACTTAAGCAAAAAATTCCATGATGAAATTGTCAAGTTCATTAAAATAAGAAAAATATAGCAGCAATAGAATATTTGCTAGCAATTCTTACGAAAAAGATAGGACCAGTTTTTTCCAATGCTGACGTTACACATCAAATTTTTCAGACCTATTAAAGAATATTTTTCAAACTTTATTCACTAATAATGATAAAATTAATTTTAGATATTTGAAAAAAAATCTAGAACTTTTACATATCTTTGATTAGAGAATTTTGATTACTGCAAGAAATGTTCCAACAAACCCCGCTTTCGGGGCTTGTTAGAATAGATAATGGAGTTATTTGAAACAAAACATGAAATTATAAAATGTTTTATGTTTAATAATAATAAATGCACTTTTACATAATATAAGTTAAAAGTATAATAAAATTTTAATTATCAGTAAACTTTTGGATATAAATATATTTATGTCGAAAAGAATTTCAACAAATTACATTTTAGTCATCAGCAAATTACAGAAAAATTCGTAAATTTATACTTAAACTTGGCTTGTGAGCCCAAAAAGGAAGCACAGAGCACATGTTCCACATTTTTCTATATTTTGACTAGCTAAACAGTTCTCAGCATATACATACATGGAAGCTGTTCTCAAGTTCAGTTATTATTGGTTCAATGTGCTCAGTATAATGTGGTATTGCTTTTATATAAAGTGAAATCTTCGTAATAAAAGTTTTCAAGATGCTGAAGAAGGACTTTCTTAACTGTCAGCAGCTAAAGCAGGAACTCCAGAACCATAGACACTGCTGATAGGTTGTACCATAGACACTGTTGATTCTAGATTATCTGTAACTTTAGAAGGCATATAGTCAACATTTGAAAAAGGTTCGGAATGGAATGGGCAGTTTGAAAACCTGTGCATACGTTTTTCGGTATGATTGCCAGAGGTAATAATAGAGAGCGCACACTGCCTGGAATGTCATAAATTGTCAATGTTTTGCATTTATTCGTATTCATCCATGTGCTGCATTCGGTGTTGAAAAACTTTTTAAAAGAAAAACATAAATATTTTTTAAATGTTTGCAGCTTGTGTGAGCAGTAATTGCGGAAAGTGCACTCCACTCCATTGGTCTTTGCAAAATTTTAAGTGCTTCATGAATGGCAAATACTCTGTCCACTTATTTATCCGGTTAAACTCATAGTTCCAATGCATCCTGTCAGACCATCGCCACATAATTATCACAAAAATTTACTTGAGGAAAAACAACTATTTTTTCCTTTTTTGGATAATGTGACAACTCCATATTGGTTCACTTAAGTTTTACAATTTTTCGCATGCATATTCCAAAAATCAGTAACGGTAAAAACTCTAAGCAGCAGCGTAGCGACAAAAAATAGGCCTCTCCGCAAAATTGTTATCCTTTCGCAGTATTAAAAATATTTTAAACTGAAAGCCCATTTTGTTGCTTTGTGTTGAATAGATTCAACCAAAGTTTTATTAGTTTTTAAATAAGAAGCCCAAATAGACACTGTATATTTATGGTGCAGTCTAATAAAAACTTCATATAACTTGAGAACCATTTTTTCATCAATAAAAGTGAATGTCTATTTGCATACCAACAATTTGTAAGAACTTTGAGACAAATCTTCAAAAATGTGTGCAACACTTGGCGTTACATTAAATAAAGACTTCTAAATTACGCATTTTAGTAGAGCTTTTTAGGGATTAATTTATTAAATTATTTTATAAAGTTTCCAATTAATTTCGAAATATCTTAATTTTAACATAAGTCTGTTTTGAGGTAGAGAATTAAAGCTTCAAGATTACATGAAAAAATTGGTGAAATACTTTAAAAGATAAAATAATATCAAAAGTTTCTATTAGATTATTCACGCAAAATTTTAGGTAAAAAAAGCCATGCTGATTTTATCAACATGGCATAATATTATTGTTTATGTTTGTTTAAAGATTTTGTCTTAACAAGTATTTTGACTATTTTGCAAGCAACAGAGTTTAGTGAAATAGGTCGATGTTTTTCAGCATGTAATTTATCTTTCGTTTTTTATAAACCGAACTAAAATTTGCTAATTTTTAGAGAGTGAGTAGAATTCCAAAATTAAAGAATTTATGAAAGATTTTTGCAAATGGAAAAAATATTCATATGGGTTAGTTTGGTAAGTTATTATGTCTGAAATAGAAAAACCCATATAAGTTCATTCTGGTTAGTATCTCTTTTTTAACGATGGAAATTATTTAAAGGGAATTAATACTATTTCTTTTTTATGTGCTTTTTTTGCTTTAAATATTTCAGCTTTAACGGAACGATTAAGAAGATAGCAGTTTATTTTAAGTTTATTATTCTTCCATTTAGTTGAGCAGTTGATATACCAAGCGGAGTTTTTTGCTCCAATAAGGATTTTAATATGTGGAGTAACCCAAGAATCATACTTTTTCTTTGTTTTATTAACTTTTCATTTTTTTATGTAATCTTGAAGCTTTGATTTTCTACCTCAAAACAGACTTATGTTAAAATTAAGATATTTCGAAATTAAAATTAAGAATAAAATATTCGCAATCAGTACAATTGTTAGAAATTAATAAATTAAACATTTGATCCGTGGTTTTACGCAGAAGTAAAATATTCCAGTTGAATGATGCTAATAAAGCTTGATATTGAATCGTAATGACCTTTGCTATAATTAAACGGCTGAGATTCACTTTCTGAAGAAGAAATTAGAGTCTCCAAGTCCTTCTTCAAAATCATGACTAATATGGAGAACATTTATAAGTAACACATTTTACCTCAGCTAATATCATCATATGATACTGTTCTCTTTTATTCACCATATGATACTATTCTCTTTTATTCACCATATGATACTGTTCTCTTTAATTCATCATATGATACTTTTCTCTTTTATTCATCATGTGATACTGTTCTCTTTTATTCATTATATGATACTGTTCTCTTTTATTCATCATATGATACTGCTCTCTTTTAGGTAGTTAAATATCTTCGTTTAACGTTTAAATATATTATTTAACGTTAATGATAATTAACTAATTTAATTTAATTTAATTTTGATTAATAAAATTAAGATTGTTATTATTACAATTATTGTTATTATGGTTTTTAATCACTATTGCAAATGAATTTCAAAAAACAATAAAAAGGTCCGTTATTTGATTTTGATTTTAGCTACCGTTTTTTTTAAAAAGCATGGGTTTGTTTTGATTTTAACAAGTACAGCCTCGTTTCATGGAGTATTAAATGAAAAGCTCTATTGTATTTAGTATTTAAATAAATATTAAAAAGCCGTTACCAATGACTTGCGATCAAAGTTAATAAATAACAAACGCCATTGTCAATTGATTGCGATAGCAATTGAGTTAAATGACTGAAAACACTTGCAACGTAAGATACTTGATTTAAACTCTAATTTAGCTTGTTGGTATAGATATTTAGAAAATAACCAAAAATAATATATCAGCGAGAATAGGAAGATTATTAACGATGCCTTTAAACTGCGCGTTATTGTATCGATTTCTAATCAGGAATAACAATTAAATAATGAAACCTTAAATCCACTCAATTTTGACATTTTGACGATAGATGACATAAAAAAGAATCATTCATTATGCATTAATATGGCATTAATAATTTATACTACGTGTGATGACGCTGGTAATGTATCACCTATAAACAATAATAAATTAGATAAATTATTTCTCTTGATTCATTTATTTTTTTAATTTAAAATAAACTAATTTTTTATCACACAATATGACTTTTTTTTACTTCCTTTCTCTCCTTTCCCCAGTTATTAAGAGCGCAACTCTAGTGTTTACTTGTTACTATTGATTCACGGCTTCTTTTTTTTTTTTTTTTTTTTGTATGTGTGTGTATTATGCATTCCATAGTTGTTTAATATAATGCAAATGAAAATAGTTACCACTAATACGTAACTATAATACAAATACCATCTTACCAATCTGTATAACTTTACCCTATTATTCGGGGTGTAGTGATAAGGCAAGTATTGTCTTCTTTTAACCCCGGTCATATAGATCTTATTTATACTACACGGCATTGTATTCTTTTTTTTTACTGACGAAATAAATAAAAAAAATAAAAAAAAAATAAAAAAAAATTAAACTTAAACTATTAAACTTTAATTATTCTTTTCTACAAGTTCAACAATCCCTTTAAACATGTTAAGTGCTTTAATACTTAGTGCTTAGTACTTTTACAATAAGTACTTAGTACCTTTGTACTTATTTCTTTTATAATTAACAATTTAAACTTTGAGAACCCACTTAAGTATCAAGTATACTAAGGTATTATTTAAACGTTTTTATAATCTAATGATTCTAAATTCTAACAAGTTTGTTTCTGTTTTAACTCCAATGCTGCTAAACACTGTTTTTTAGATTTTCGTAAGTTACTAAAACAAATTAATTGTACACTTTTTGCCATCAGATTTTCAAACAACATTCAATATAATATATTAAAATAATAATAAAAAAATTAAATTAATTACTTTGAAAAGTTTAATTATACATGCAAATCACTTTTTTGTTAAGAAGAATGTTTTTCATGATAAGAATCAATAGTTTTTCATGGCCTTTGCCCTTTCTGCTTTAATTTTGTTCAATTAAAGTTGAGTATTTAAAATTAATTTTTGTTTGAAAATGTATTAAAATGATTTTTATATGGTAAAAAATTAACTATTTTTATTAACTTTTGTTTAAATGTTAAAAATAAACGGAAAATTGTAACCTCAGAATCTGCATTTAAACACCTAACAATAAAATTTAAAAATAATCAAACCATATCAAGTACACAATACAGATTCCATTGGTTAAATATTTCTCGACAGTCAATAATTTTATAATAAAATTTAAGATTACATTTCTCACGCTGATTTCAAACTTCGATCAGATCGCGATATTCTTCGAAACGCACCACTTGCATTTGCAAGTGGTGCGTTTTGTATTAATTTCAATTAAAAATATGATATTATGTCATCAAAGAAAAAATTTTGACAAAGCTATAGTGTACTTTATTTCTTAAATATTATACATTGTAATTATTTTGGATTTTATAACGTGTCTTTTCTAATCTTTTTCTCTTCCCCCTTCCTTTCTCTGTCCCTGTGCATTTAAGTAGCATTGGTACAGCTGCTACCGTTTTCATACAACACTATATATCGCATTTTACTGCGACTTTTTGTCATTATTATAACAGCTGATGAAAATTTACTTTGGTGTTATTTTATTTTCTATTGTTGCAAATATTTACACAGTCTTTGTTGATAAATTTAAAAACTTATTGAATGGGCATTTAAAGAAATGTATTGATTTTTATATTTAAAACATTGATCTACCTTGTGTACCAAGAGAGAGCACTAAAACAATACTCGTTTTGTTTAGAATGATGTTTGCATTGAAAATTTGGTTGGCTTTTTTAGGCGGTAAGTTCATTTTTTAAGTTCTTCTATAATAAGTATATATTAGTATTCTAATTCAAAATACTTGTAAACTTTTTTAAAAAGGTTGTTTATCTAATTTAATTTTCTCGCCGAATTTTGACTTTAAAAGGCCAACGTATTTGATTCTATAATTAAAAAAAAAAATTATGATAACAAACTTTTTCTTCAAATAGTTAATTGGACATGGAACATGATAGTAATTAAATAGTTAATAAGACATGGAACGGACTAAATACGGTTTTAAAACCTGTTTTTTTTATATGTATATTGAATGTTTAATATACGGGTAAATTTGAATGTATTACATTATTTCCGGCGTAATTCTCGCATTAATCTCAAAAGTCTTAACAATTCAAAGTTTTGAAATATCCTACATAAAGATCTACAAAACTAGATTTTGAAAAAAAATTCATTGTAAAAAAAATTATTTTTAATTACTTATTCAATATGACTGTAAAATATTAATATGAACGCTTTTAAAAGGACTTAACACTCCCCCTTCCGTAAAACAGGGTTATACAGTTTAAAATACTTTTTCAAAAACAAAATTTCGAGAAAAATTAGGTCTTTTCACTTATGGTTGTAACTTTTATATCTTAGAATTTTTTCTTAGTAAAAAATTTGACAAGTATGGTCAGACATGTTGCAAGCTTTAAAAACTATATGCAATTAACTCATTTCAATTTATCATAGTTTTAACGCAGCTGTGATGCAGCGGTAAGAGTTCTGGCTCAGAACCAAAGAGATCCGAGGTTCGACGTCGGCTCCAGCTCATTAAGCAACACTAGTAAGAAATAAGGCGTAGACTCCCTAGTTAAATGCTCTTTCGAAGTGCTCAGTGATAAAAGCGTAAGGACTTTCAGTGATAAGAGCGTAAGGACTTTCAACGATAAGAGCGTACGGACTTTCAGTGATAAAAGCGTAAAGACTTTTAATATGGTCAAGCCAATTATTAAAAATAGCGAACATTTTAAAACAAAACAAAAAAGTTATAAGCCGCAATTTCAAATAAAAATTTTACTTAAAAAAAAGTCTCTTTTTTTATATTTATTGTACTTAAGTATGGCAATAAAATAAAACTGTCACTACGCAAATAGAAACTGCGAATAAAATATTTATCTGCTTACAGTAAACAAATATTTTATCACATATTTTTTTTTAACATGTCATTATTTTTAAAGCAAAAAAGACAAACTTGTAAAAACATTCATAAAAAATCTTAAAATAACTTTTGAGTTACCAAATTAACATTTAGTTAATTATAAATAATAAGGTTTTATTACTTACATTATTGTTAATTACATTAGTTCATATTCAGTGACGGATCCAGGAATTTTTAGTGGTGGTGGTGGTAGGGGGAGGGGATGTTGAAATATTTTTGTATTTTGTACCACATTTGCGACTCCTAAAAAAAAAATGGTCCTCATTTTCTAAGATATTTTAGGACTTTCAAAATCTGGTGGTAGGGGGGGGGATGTACATGCCCCCATCCCCCTGGATCTGTCACTGTTCATAATTTATGATATTTTTTTATTATTTTATAACAGTATATAATATAATGAATAATAGTAATAGTTTCATTGTTAGTATTATTGATTAGATATTATTATTACTCAATTAATATTTAGTTACTATAATTTAGGTTTTCAAAATGCGGATATATACCACACAGTTTATTTCCCACTTTTTATAAGTTTGTTTTTTTTTTAATTTATTTAGGTGCTCAAAGAAGTCATTACGGTCTTATGACAGAGCACCGCGGATGAGCATTTAATCGGAAGTTCACACTTCCTTCCAAACCAATGTCACAAAACTTGCCCTAGGTAAGGTTTGAACCACGAACCTTGTTTCTGAGGCAAGTGCGTTACCACTGCTCCACGGCTGCTCTTTACTTGCCTATCTTTAGTTACTACTAAATTCACACAAGTTGCTATCTGTTAAACGCAGATTATTATTTACCCCCGTAGATTGTTATTTTTCCTTCTTAAAACAGATAGTAATCTGTGTCAAACAATCCACAGATAATCAACTATAGGTGATTATCATATTTAAATAGGGTTAAATTGTAGATAAGTAATACTTTAGTACAATTTAACGCTATTTAATAATGTTTTAATTGACAGTTTTCAAAAGTTCAATTATATTTACAAGTAAAATGTTTACCACTTTTCTTTACAAGCCGATACTTGTTATATACATCTATACTTGAATTAGAAAAAAGGAAAGCTAGTGCTTCTGTGTAAGGGTTTTTACCCAATATTTTCTAAATAGTTTAATTCTATTTTAAAAATAAATAAGTATAAGTTATAAAAGTATGAGTGTAAATAGCTGGACTTAAAAACTTTATTGGACGAGGTAATAATTTCAACTAAAAAGACCAATATTGAAAGAAACCTTCATTAAATAGCAAAATAATATTTTCTCAATATTGCAGACTGTCACCAATGTTACCAACCGCTAAGTAAAAACAAAATATTTTATGTTATAGTGTTTTCTGTATTTTGTAGATTTATCTATTTTTTATATATTATATAAATATTAGAAAATACAAAAAATACTATAACATATAAATTAACAGACTGACAAAAAAAATCTTTTTATGTCAGCAACATCACCATTTATAAATATTTTTTTCTTATTTTTTTGTTATTACTTATTACTTATATATATATATATATACACATATATATATATATATATATATATATATATATATATATATATATATATATATATATATATATATATATATATATATAAATATATATATATATATATAAATATATATATATATATATATATATATATATATATATATATATATATATATATATATATATATATATATATATATATATATATATATATATATGGGAATATATAACTGGGAAAAAGTGGGAATATAACTGGGAATATATAACTGGGAAAAAGTGCCCACGATAGCATACTTAACTTTGAAGCTTTATTATTCAGTTTCCTGAAGACCAATAATAAAATTTTTGATATGTATACATTCCTTGTTAAATGTGAAGCAATAATAACACTTGGAGTTTTTATCAGTTTTACTTTTTTTTATGTTAATCCTATTTTAAAAAAAAGCACAAGTGTGCTATCATTGGCAACCACTGCTCCTATGAAGCCATATGGAGGATGGGGTTGGCTAGGATCAAGGGTAACTTGAAAATTTCATTTAACCTTAGAGTCTTTCCTCAGAAATGCAGAAATTACGCGGAATCACCCGAATTTACAATTTTATGATATACAGCAGCATTGTAAAGTTTCGCGCTGTACATAAGAGATACTGCGTTTTATGTCTTTTTTGGACCAAAATAAGACTTTTAAAGCATCACATCTCTTTTACGTTACTTACAAATAAGTTGTTCTTATAAAAAAAAAGGTGTTCCCAACTCGTCAATATTGCATTACACCCTACTCATTGCATTATACCCTATTCATATTGCCTTTATAATCAAGTTTTTTACTTGCAAATTACAAGTAAAAAACATCAATACTTTGTGATCTTTACATGATGATTTATTTTTATAGTTTTTTTTAATAAATTACAAATTCAATTAATTAACAATGGAGGCTATCATGTTCACGGATTATTATATTTAAAGAAGAGAGTCTTCAGAGAGAATTGTGACTGTATTTCAATTTTGTAAAGTTTTTTCGGTTATTTACTAACAACTCTTTTTACTACAATTTAATTTTAAATCGTACTACATTTTTGAAGAGGAAAAAAAGTGCATTTATCTTCTTACAATACCTTCTTATAATAAGTTGCCAAAATAACAAAAAAGTTGCCATAAACATTTATCTTCTTACAATACCTTCTTATAATAAGTTGCCAAAATAACAAAAAAGTTGCCATAAACATTTATCTTCTTACAATAATATACCTTCTTATAATAAGTTGCCAAAATAACAAAAAAGTTGCCATAAACAGTAACTTTTTTTGTATGCATATAAATGTGTATATGGATAATATGAAAATAATAACATTACGTTTTGGCACATAACCTCGTAAAAAAGTTGCTATACAATTTTTTGATAAGTTAAAGAATAATAATGCTTATGCAAGGTTGAGGGTATAAGGTATAAGGTTGAGTAACTTTCAAAGAAACAAATCAATTTCTGGTTTGAACTGGACGAAGAAGACATCAGCCTATTGCATTAGCTGTTATATAAAAAAAAACGAGAAACTTCAGCAGTATTTATATGCTAATGACAATATAAACATGATACTTTTAAAGGAAGTGAGAGATGCTGGATAATTTACATTAGTCTTAACGATGTTTTACACACAGAACAGATCACTTTTATTCTTCGTCTTGTTTACTTCAACGATATCAAAAAAAGTTGGGAGATAAGTTTCTTTATTTTGAAGACACTGAGAAAAAAACGGGGCGTATATTGCTAAACTGATTCTTGATGTGATAATAAAAGTAAGTCTTTTAATTGCAAAAATGCCGTTAAAACAAGGTTTTGACAACGGCTCAATTATGGTTGGAGTTTACATGGCGGAAAAATCATTATTTTACAGAATATCCCGTAAGCCTTATATATTCTTTATAGTGCTCATAGCTGGAGTAATGGATTTAAATCTTGCGCTGAGATGAAAATTTTTTTTCGTTTATTTTTTGCAAGATTTCCCATACCTGATGGTCAGCTTGAATTGCCACAATTAAACCAGTTCCAAAATAACCATATGAAAATATTGCTTCCTTCAATCGTACTATAGAAGATCTTGATCTTACTTCTGACTTGTTAAATCATGCTAAGTCTTCGGTAAAGTTTTCTAAATTGTTCAAAACTGTTGTGCTTCTGATCTTTTGGCATAAAATTCTACATTTATTTGATGAAGTAAGTCATTTGTTACAGTCAACTTTGTTACAGTCAACTTTGTTACAGTCAACTTGATTAATAATTGATGAAAAAATTGTTGTTATTCAACAGCTAATTAGTGATCTTTACCGCAT